ACATAGTGATCATTTAGCACATTGAAGTGAACATTATTAGTACATAGGGAACATTTAGTACATAGTGATCATTTAGTACATAGGTTGATCAATTTAGTACATATGATCATATAGCTCACACATACGATTATCATTTAGTACAATAGTGATCGATTTAGCCCACAAGTGAGATCATGTTATACATAGTGATCATTTAGTACATACAGTAGATCATTAGTAACACAAAGGTGGATCATCTTAGTACATAATGTGATCTTAAAGTACATAGGTGATCATTAGTACATAGTGATCATTTAAGTACATAGTGATCAATTTAGCAAACCTAGCGTGATCATTTAGTACATAGTGATAATTTAGTACATAGTATCATTTCTGTAGCATAGTGATCATTTAGTACAACGTGACGCATTTAGTCATAGGATCATTTAGTCATATGATTCATTTATACATAGAGATCATTTAGTACAAAGTATGAGACTACATTTCACTACCAGTGTGATCATTAGGTACAAAGGTGAGCATTAGTACATAGTGATCATTTAGAGTACATTAGTGATCATTTAAGTACATAGTGATCATTTAGTACATAGGTGATCATTTAGTACATATCGTGATCAATTAGTACATAGTCGATCATTTAGAGATACATAGGTGATCATTTATTACATAGGGATCATGATTAGTACATAGAGGAAGATCTAATTTAGAGAGCATAGGCAGCAGAACAAATTTTAGTAGCAGTTGATCATTTAGACATAGTGATCATTTAGTACACACAAGTTGATCATTTAGTACATAGTGATCATTTAGTACATAGGTGATCTTTTAGTACATAGGTGATCATAGTACATCAAGGTAAGCAAATTAGAACCTAGGTCTATCATCTATCGTACGCATAGGATTCATTAGTACATAGGGATCATTTAGTACATAGTAGAAACATTTAGTACATAGTGATCAAGATTTAGTACATCGAGGTACATATTAGTACATTTAGTTTTATATTTCTACTTTATACATAGGTGATCATTTAGTAACATATAGTGATCGATTTAGTACCATAGTGATCATGATTAGTACATAGAGTGGATCTTTAGATAGGCTTAGGGATGCATTTCTTTAGCACATAAGATCATATAGTTACATAGTGCATCATTATAGTACATAGGTGATCATTTAGTACATAGTGATCATTTAGTACATAGGTACCCACTTTATACATAGTGATCATTTATGTACAAGGAGATCATTTAGTACATAGGTGATCATTTAGTACATTTAGTGATCATTTATAGTACATAGGTGATCATATTCATACATAGTGATCCATTTAGTACATAGGGATCATTATAGTACATAGGTATCATTTAGTACATAGTGATCATTTAGTACAAAGGTGGGGGGATATCATTTTAGTACATAGTGATCGATTTAGAACATAGTGATCATATTAGTACATAGTGATCATTTAAGTACATGGTGATCATTTAGTACATAGGTGATCATTAGTACATATGTATCATATTCACAACATAGTGTGATCATTAGTACATAGTATGATCATTATACATATGTGATATTTAGTACATAGTGATCATTCTAGTAACACATTTCAGGTAGATCAGTTAGTACATAGATAGATCGCATTTACTACATAAGAACAATCATTATAGTACATAGTGATGCATTCTAGTACATATGTAACATTTAGTACATAGTGATCATTTAGTACAGTAGTGATAACATATAGTACATAGATCATTTTAGGTAACAAGGTGATCATTTAGTACATAGTGGTTCATTTAGTAGCATAGTGTAACGAGTTTAGTAATAGTGAATCATTTAGTAGCATAGTGATCATTTAGTAATAGTGATGCATTTAGTACATAGTGAATCATGTTAAGTACATAGGTGTATCATTTAGTACATAGTACATTTCTAACATCATGTGCATCAGTTAGTACATAGTGGATCATATAGTACATAGTGATCATTTAGTACATAGTGATCACTTTAGTACAAGGTGATCATATATACATAGTGATCATTTAGTAACCATACACTGATCATTTAGTCTAACATAGCGATCATTTAGTACAGTGATTCATTAGTACAGAGTGAACATTTAGTACATATGTGATCATTTATTAAGTGAACAGTAGTGATCAATTTAGTACATAGTCGAATCATTTATTGTACATAGGTGATCATTTAGGTACAATAGGTGATCATATAGTACAAAGGTGATCATATCTTAGTACATAGTGATTGCATTTAGTCACAATAGGTGTTGATCATTTAGTACATAGTTGACTCATTTAGTACATTAGTGATCAACTTTTAAGTACATAGTGATCATTTAAGTACATAGTGATCATTTTAGGTACATAGTGATCATTTGTTTAGTACATATGTGAATCATTTAGTACATAGGAGATCATTTAGTACATAGGCGTGATCATTAGTACATAGATGATCATTTAGTACATAGCGTGATCATTTAGATACAGAGTGATCGCATTAAAGTACATAAGAGTGATCATTTAGATATCATAGTGATCCATTTAGTCACAGTAGTGCATCATTCTTAAGTACATAGGTGAATCATTTTAGGTAACATAGTGAGAGCAGTTTAGTACTGATCATTTAGTACATAGTGATCATTTAGTACATAGTGATCATTTAGTACATAGTGATCATTTAGTACATAGTGATCATTTAGTACATAGTGATCATTTAGTACATAGTGATCATTTAGTACATAGTGATCATTTAGTACATAGGTGATCATTTAGTACATAGTGATCATTTAGTACATAGTGATCATTTAGTACATAGTGATCATTTAGTACATAGGTGATCATTTAGTACATAGTGATCATTTAGTACATAGTGATCATTTAGTACATAGTGATCATTTAGTACATAGTGATCATTTAGTACATAGTGATCATTTAGTACATAGGTGATCATTTAGTACATAGTGATCATTTAGTAATAGTGATCATTTAAGTACATAGGTGATCATTTAGTACATAGTGATCATTTATAATAGTGACATTTAGAGTGATCATTTAGTACATAGTGATCATTTAGTACATAGGTGATCATTTAGTACATAGTGATCATTTAGTACATAGGTGATCATTTAGTACATAGTGATCATTTAGTACATAGGTGATCATTTAGTACATAGTGATCATTTAGTACATAGTGATCATTTAGTACATAGTGATCATTTAGTACATAGTGATCATTTAGTACATAGTGATCATTTAGTACATAGTGATCATTTAGTACATAGTGATCATTTAGTACATAGTGATCATTTAGTACATAGTGATCATTTAGTACATAGGTGATCATTTAGTACATAGTGATCATTTAGTACATAGTGATCATTTAGTACATAGTGATCATTTAGTACATAGTGATCATTTATACAAGTGACATTTAGTCATAGTGATCATTTAGTACATAGTGATCATTTAGTACATAGGTGATCATTTAGTACATAGGTGATCATTTAGTACATAGGTGATCATTTAGTACATAGTGATCATTTAGTACATAGGTGATCATTTAGTACATAGTGATCATTTAGTACATAGTGATCATTTAGTACATAGTGATCATTTAGTACATAGTGATCATTTATACATATGATCATTTAGTACATAGGTGATCATTTAGTACATAGTGATCATTTAGTACATAGTGATCATTTAGTACATAGTGATCATTTAGTACATAGTGATCATTTAGTACATAGGTGATCATTTAGTACATAGTGATCATTTAGTACATAGTGATCATTTAGTACATAGGTGATCATTTAGTACATAGTGATCATTTAGTACATAGTGATCATTTAGTACATAGGTGATCATTTAGTACATAGTGATCATTTACTACATAGTGATCATTTAGTACATAGTGATCATTTAGTACATAGTGATCATTTAGTACATAGGTGATCATTTAGTACATAGTGATCATTTAGTACATAGTGATCATTTAGTACATAGTGATCATTTAGTACATAGGTGATCATTTAGTACATAGGTGATCATTTAGTACATAGGTGATCATTTAGTACATAGTGATCATTTAGTACATAGTGATCATTTAGTACATAGGTGATCATTTAGTACATAGGTGATCATTTAGTACATAGTGATCATTTAGTACATAGGTGATCATTTAGTACATAGGTGATCATTTAGTACATAGGTGATCATTTAGTACATAGTGATCATTTAGTACATAGGTGATCATTTAGTACATAGTGATCATTTAGTACATAGGTGATCATTTAGTACATAGGTGATCATTTAGTACATAGGTGATCATTTAGTACATGGGTGATCATTTAGTACATAGTGATCATTTAGTACATAGGTGATCATTTAGTACATAGGTGATCATTTAGTACATAGTGATCATTTAGTACATAGTGATCATTTAGTACATAGTGATCATTTAGTACATAGGTGATCATTTAGTACATAGTGATCATTTAGTACATAGTGATCATTTAGTACATAGGTGATCATTTAGTACATAGGTGATCATTTAGTACATAGGTGATCATTTAGTACATAGGTGATCATTTAGTACATAGGTGATCATTTAGTACATAGTGATCATTTAGTACATAGTGATCATTTAGTACATAGTGATCATTTAGTACATAGTGATCATTTAGTACATAGGTGATCACAGTACAAAGTGATCACCTAACTGCCTGATGTTCTTAGTAAATCATTACACAAATATAAAACCGAAGTAACCTTAATAGGTACTCCCCATTAGCCTAGGTAATTAGGTGTTTTCTAAATCGCCACTAGCAGGTAAAAAACACATATGAACGAAGGAAACATTTTGCCCTGAGCCGCTACTTTAGTCCTGACTGAAGCCTCTTGGGCGAAACGTTTCCTTAATGTCTTAATTAGTGTGAGTATCACTATACAACTTCCACCCTCTAAATCTCTACTTACTTGGTATTTGCTGAGTTCGATGCCCTCCCTCCGACACCGCCCGTAGAGTGTGCCCGTGGGGATACCAAATTCCTGAGCGGCTTTCTGGACGCTCATCCCCCCGCGGATGGCATCCAGGGCTTTGGTCAAGTCATCAGGGTTCCAAGACGGCTGGATGGCTGAGAACGGTGATGACAACTTGATGCCCTCCTTACGGGCGATCTTGTACAATGTGGAATTTGGGATGCCAAACTCCTTGGACGCTCTACACGAGAGAGAAACACGCACCTTTACTAAGTAATAAATCTGTGTGTTGAGGAACAGACACAGATGTAATACCTAGACGTTAAGGGGAGTTTTTAATCCAATAGAAGGAATGCGGAATGTATAGGGAAGTCAAGTGAGATGGTGGCGTCAAGTGCTTGAACATGTATCACCCTGGAGATAAAAGGATAAAGCTCCTGAAGAGCGAAACGTTGCCACAGTAAAATGTCACATTAGTTGCTCTTATGTCCTTTTATCTAACATATTGTGGGTAATTCTACCCACATTATTACACCTTGAGATAAATGGTATACAATACCGACACGATGGAAAAATATAAAATGCAGTAAAATGCGATCCTCTACTACGTTTCGCTCACACAGTGGTCTTTATCAAGTCACAGACACAAAATGTAGTCCATAAAGGATCGTATTATACTGCACCGGTGTCTATTTTTCTATGTATCACCTGCTGGTGTGGATTGACGGGACAAAATTTACCTTGTCAGCTCTACGGGAATGTTACAACTATTTCAGTATTGAGCTGCTGTGTGGGAAGCAGCAATAAGGTTAACCTCAAGGCAGCACGTTTCTGCAGACTTATATCTCATCACGTGCCCTTGTGAATTCCTGTGTTACACAAATCTATACAAAATACCTCTACTACGGATATATCAGAGAACACGAATGCGTGTGCGTCCGCAAGCACACACATACAGTAGACGCAATGTGAATAACGTTTGTGGAATTCACAAGGACATCTGATGAGATAGACTTCAAGCTGATCGTGAAAAATAATCTGTAAAAACATCGCTGCTTTAATTGTGGTTTCTTCGCACATTAACCCAAAACTCAACAGCACTTGCCAGGTTTATACTACTTGCTCAAGTACCTGACATGACTGGACCTGACCTGAACTGACTCACTTGACTTCCTCCTAAATATTCTGTGATTTTTCTCTCCTCTGTATTGGATTAAAAAAGCCCCAGTAAGCGAAACGTCTGATTAAGTGTTCTAAGTGTTAAGTGTTGCATTGATTCCATATTTTGTTAATGTCATACCCATTCTTGTAGTTCTCGGTATCAAGTGGTGTTACCAGTGTGGAAAAAGACACTTACGTACAGTTCTGGATATTAGAGGAAACGTTTCGCCACGAGTGGCTTTTTTAGTTCTTCAAGAGTGAAGAAGCCACTCGGGGCGAAACGTTTCCTCTAATAAATGCCCCAAATTTACATAAATATTTTTTTTCCACATTTTGTCGGTATTACCAGACCATTTTTCATTATTTTATTATTATTATTATTATTATTATTATTATTATTAATTATTATTATTATTATTATTATTATTATATTCATGGGGTACATAGGAAGTACGAGTACACTACATTACACTCTTGAGTACTAGAGTACCAGGAGTGTACTACGTTAAAGTTTTGGGGAAGGAAGCAGGAGTACTGAGAGTGGGAGTACTAGTAGTACCACTCACCTATTTGCGGACATTCTACCACTGCGAAGCTCTTCCAGGGCACCAGCAAGGTCGTGTTCACTCCACGTCTTATTGGGTCCCTCCTTCTTAGGTGTCTCGATACCCATGCGGTGTGCCCGTTGCCACAACGTGGTGGCAGGGATGCCGTACACGTGCGCTGCTTTACTAAGCGACATGACAGCGTTCCGCAAGGCATCCAACGCCTTGTCCATATCCTCATCCGTCCATAACTTCCGTCCCCCCGGCGTGCCCGACAAGCTCTCCGTGTCTGCGTGACCAACAACACACACACAAACCTTATACACACACTGTAATTATTGTTATTGCAGTGAATCATTAAAGCCGCGTGATACACAGCGCCTGGGGAATGGATGGTAATCAGGTTTGGATGAAGGATGGGATGAGAAGCTGTTGGAGTAATGTTTGTACATACCTGTGGAGATATGTTTTGTGTGATGTTAACCTTGGACTCTTCACTTACACATGCAGCTTCACACCTATCCACCAAATAACCCACTTAGGACAGGGACTTTATGGTGACTTTTTGGTCGGTCCTTGACCCTTGTCAAATCACAACACCCAAGTTGTTACTTGTGCCCAGTCAACCCCCACCCTACAATCTATAGTCAATATCAAAATGGTATGTAATACCGACAGGATGGTTGTTAAGACACATAGGCAACACTTAAGCAACTTTATTCCAAAACGTTTCGCCTACACAGTAGGCTTCTTCAGTCGAGTACAGAAAGTAGGCAGGAGCAGTAGAGATGTGAAGACGATGTAATCAGTCCATCACCCTTAAAGTCGTAGATTTGAGGTTGTCAGTTCCTCAGCCTGGAGAAGTTCAGTTCCATAGTCTGGAACTATCTGAAGATCAAGCGAACGAACGAACGAACGAAAGTTCAGGTAAGATCCCAAATGGGATGAGCGGGGAAGACGGGACAGACGAAGAATAGTGCTGGAGAGGAGTGCTCTTAGTCGTAGAAATAGAGCCAGGGCTTAACCCAGCAGCGAAGGCGATCGTGGGACAGATATTGAGAAGAGAAATTCAGGCTCTTCTGTTGGGACTCCAGTGGGGTGAGCGGGGAGGAAGGGACATGCGACGTTTAGCGCTAGAGAGGAGTGTTTAGAACTGGGCCATGTCTTAACCCAAAAGCTAAGGTGAACGTGGGTCAGAGAATGGTACCTGTCATAGAAGGTACCTGTCAGCGAATCCAAGGTTATTTGTAAATAGGGTTAGGAGCAGGATCATGCAAGGAGTAGAAAAGGTTGTGTTGGTTTGTGGGTCTGCGAATGTCTTCGTCAAGGAGAGAGGTCCAGTAGTCATGTCATGTCTCAAGTTTGTCTATGTCTGTCACTGAGCGTCTTCCAGTACAGATTCAGCGCAGGGATGTCTAATTGCGCATGGAGAGACTCGCTTGTAGCGAAGTCTTCCCACCTGACATCAAGCACCCAGCGCAGCGCCTTGTTCTGGACACGCTGCGGTTTAAGTAAGTTTGTTTTTGCTGCAAGAGAAAGGGCTAGAGGAGACATGACCTCTCAGTGGCTACAATCTCACTACTACTACTCTGCACCTCTCTTTCCGACAGTATTTAAGTCTCAACACTGTCGCTTGATCTTCAGTTAGTTCCAGACTTTGGAACAGAACTTCTCCAGGCTGAGGGACTGACAACCTCAAATCTACGACTTTAAGGGTGATGGACTGATTACATCGTCTTCACATCTCTACTGCTCCTGCCTACTTTCTGTACTCGACTGAAGAAGCCTACTGTGTAGGCGAAACGTTTCGGAATAAAGTTGCTTAAGTGTTGCCTATGTGTCTTAATAACCAATCTATAGTCAGATACAGAGAATGAAACACATGGATATCTTTATTGTGGAAAAGTTTTGCCAGCCAATGGCTTCCTCATTCCAATTCAGAGAATTGTGGAAAATCAGGAGTTTGAGGTAAATAGTTCTTCAATTTAGAGCTGTTAATGGTTGGAACAGAAAGAACAGAGCTAAAGCTAAGAAGGTTCAAGAGACTGTTGTGATGACCAGCAGTTCCTTCTCAATGTTGGTAGACAGGTATGAGTTGACGACCCTAGACACCTTAACAAACATCATCCCAATGAAGACCATCGAGTACGTCACGACGAACACAACCAGTGGAGGTAAGGACAATGTCTTGGGGCAGTCAGGTTAAGTTTATGGATGGGGCTTTTTGTCTTAGAGATAGGATGAGGTGGCAGCGGCTGTTTTTTTTTTTCGAGGTTAGGATGGAGGATATTGTTAGCCATTTGGACAACATTATGAGAGGTAGGAGCAATTCTATTATGTCTCAGTGCGGGAGGCAACGCTGTTGGCAGACGTAGGAGTGGGAAAATGATTAGCAGGAATAGGTTAAAGAAAGACATAATTAGGAAGGGAGGGAAACCTGTAATATGTGGCATTCTGCCAAGGAGAGGAGCTGGAAATGAATGGTTGTCCAGGGCAATTGGTGTCAATTGCTGGCTGGACAAACACTGTAAGGAAATGCAGTACCATTTATAGACAGTTGGGACCTCTTTTATGCCAGAAATGACATGGGATGGGGTTCACTTATCTAGAGCAGGTGTGGGTGCACTGGCCAATGCAGTGGAGGGAGCTGTTAAGGCTTTAAACTAGGAATAGTAGTATGGGTTTTGGGGGGAAAGCAATGAAATATGATACAACAGAATTGGGCAGGATGAATTCTCAATTGTGAGTTTTAGGGAAATCAGTTATAGGCAGAATGAGGTAAAGTTATTGGTGAATACCAGAAAGCCAGTGACACTAAGTGATAAGGACAGTAATAGAGATATGGGAGGAGCAGGAATGAACAGTGAGGGAAAAGAGAAAGGAGGGTTTATAAATATGTATTATACAAATAGTTGTAGCACTAGAAACTAGATGGATGAGCTGAGATTAGTTGCAAGTGTGGGTAAAATTGACATATTTGCCATAACTGAGACATGGTTTAATATAAAGAATTGGGACACACCTGCTGAATGTCACATTCAGAGTTTTAAGTTATTCCACGATGTTAAGTTATTCCATGGTATTAAAGAACACTGAAACTGCTGCAGCAGGTATTAAGACTGGAAAGACCTGGAAGGTACTCGAGGGTTTGGTCCCAAATCTGCACACTGCCATAACAACATACTGGAGTGAGAGCTATGGGAGGATGTGTAAAACAAACCCAGTGAGGAGCAGGGGTGCGGTGGGGACAATAAGAGAACACTGTATCAACATCCGGGGTCCCAGACTTTTCAATACATTACCAGAAGATATCAGAAACACAGCTGGAACACGTGTAGAAGCCTTCAAGAGGAAACTGGACAAGTATCTTCACCAGGTGCCAGATTAATCAGGCTGTGATGAATACGTGGGGCAATGGGCCTCCAGCAGCAACAGCCTGGTTGACCAGGGAAGCATCAGACGAGCCTGGTCCATGGCCGGGCTCCGAGAGTAGTCAAACTCTCAAAGCTCTTCAAAGGTAAGGTACTGAAAGAACACACAGAGTGTGGGCAGAATTTTCAGAAGGGCATGAAAAATTAATTTTAGGCATGATTTATCGTCCCCCAAACTTGGATAGGGACCAAGAGAGACTACTTTTGGGAAGAAACTGTTGAGGCCACAAGGCACGAAAACAGTAATTTTTAGGAAATTTTCAACTTTAGTCAGATTGATTGGAATTCACTGACTGGGAAATCAAGAGTCAAATGACTTCTTGGAGGTAATTCAAGACTGTTTTTGGAGCAGTTTGTGACAGAACCAAACGTAGGAAAATAATCTGCTTGATTTAGTTCTGGCTAACAAGGATACCCTTATTAACAATCTAGAGATTACAGAGGAACTTGGCACAAGCGACCACAAATCAATTACCTGTAGCACTGAATGGAGGTATGATAGTAGGGATAACTCAGTAACAGTCCCAGATTTTCGCTTAGCAGATTACAACGGGCTTAGAGAACACTTATCATCTGTGGACTTGGGTAACGAAGAGAGCTATCAATATGACTTTTCTAAACACTATACATGCTGCCCAAAGAACACTCCGTTTAAAAGATATGAGATCGAACAGAAATTATCCAATATGGATGAATAATAGGCTCAAACATCTTTTAGGGCATAAGAAAGGAATTCATAGGCGTATCAAAAGAGGTGAAGACCATCTCGTTGATCAATATATTTACGATAAAAGGAAACTTAAAAAGGGAAAAGAAAAGCTAAACAGGACTATGAAATTGAAGTGGCTAATAATTCAAAAACAAACTGAAAGACTTTTTCCAAGTATATAGAGCAATGTGCTCAGTTTTTATTAAATATTTTCTCTCTGTTTTCACATAGGAATACACTAACAATATTCCAATAATTAATTTTTACAGTGGGCCTGAAGAAAATAAATTATGTAATGCCACAGTCACTAGGGATATGGTTATCAAACAAAATAAATCCCCGGGCCCTGATGAATTTTTTTACAAGGGTTCTTAAGGAGTGTAAAATAGAACTTTGTGAATCATTAACTAACATTTTTAATATTCCTCTTTAAACAGGTGTAGTGTCTGATATGTGGAAAACGGCCAATGTAATTCGAATTTTTAAATCAGGAGACAAGTCGTTACCGTGAAATTACCGGCCACTCGTCGATTTTCTTGCACAAGAGATCGATGGCTTGTGTAGTAGGTACTTTAGTGAATAGGGATGTTTGTAATAAAGTTGGTAAATTACCGACAATATGTAAAGTAAAAGGACACAAGTGCACTAATGGGGACATTTATTGTAGCTCACTGGAGAGCGAAACGTTGCTACAATAAATGTCACATAGTTGCACTTGTGTCCTTTTACTTTACAATAGGGATGTTACATCTACATCAGGAACAATATCCTCGGGAACAGGCAGTGCTCCCCACCAACTCTCAAGGATTCTCGCTAACATCTCTCTAAACTCTTGGACACAATCAGTCCAGCACATAAACACTCGGGTGATCTCAATCACATTCGCAACATCAACATCAGGAAGAAGAAACTTTAACGTAACATCCCTATTCACCAAAGTACCTACTACACAAGTCATCGATCTCTTGAGCTGGAAAATTGACGATTCACTTGGCCTTCCTATTCCAGTCAGCGATTTCACTGACCTTGTTGAACTATGTGTTGGCTTTACGTGTTTTTCTTTCGAAAATTATCTCTTTCAGCAGACTTGGACTACCCATGGGTTCACCACTTAGTGCTGTACTGGAAAACCTATACATGGAACATCTGGAAGCCGAGCAGTTTTCCTGTATTATT